TTTCCCAAGGTGTTGGTCCATGCTCTCAGCTCTGCTGGGCGAGGGCTGGCAGTGCCCAGAGCTGGGAGGGCAGGGGAGACATCGGGACTGTTTAACCATTAAACCTGGGGCGTCTTGGAAGAGGCGGGGGCACCCCCTGCCACTTCACCCTGTACCTTGCTCCCTTTCGCGTTCCCTGCAGCCATGAAGCAAACAAAAGGTATGTGCTGGGACAGTGGGGCTTCATCCTGCGGAGACCCTTCCCCACGTGCACATCTCCAGGCTCTGTTGCTGCATGGAGCAAGGCAATGCCAGGGCCCAGGCGGGCCATGGAAAGGAGCTAGAGGCATCCAGGAAAATGTAGATGGACATTGTAGGGGCGCTTGGCAGGAATCCCCTCTCCTTGGGTTTGGGCGTCCTTGTACTGAAAGAGGTGGGGAGGGGTTTTATGGGGAGCTACGCAGGGGAAGGCACCTGTCTCCATCTCCTGGCTCCAGCCAGCTCTCTGGGGCCCTGGTGACCCTTCTCCATCTGCATATCACTGCCTGGTCCTACTTTGCCCCTGGTGCTGCAGGACCCTGCTGGGCTGGGCAGTGGGTGCCCATTGGACCCAAGCGGCAGGTGTCCTGCTGCTTTGACATGCAAAAGGACACTGATGGTGGGGCCAAGGGCCAGGGTATGCCTGGGCACAGGCTGTAGCCGGAGGGCAGAGGGGCTAGGAGAGCTACGTGGACTTGGCAAACCCACCTCACCTGGTGTAGCATGCTCAGCCTGCGAATGGACAAGAGTACTTGAGAGTGTGGGGTCTGCTCCTAGCCCACTGCCTCCTGCACTGACCTCTCCTCTCCCTCTGCAGGGCTCGAGGGTGACAAGAAGTCCATCATGTAAGTGCTGAGCTCCTCCTGCCCAGGGTCTTCCTGGGGCTTGTGGTCCCACAACTGGGCTGTGCTGGGGCATACCCTCAGCTGAGGTGGTGTGGGTCATGGCTGCCAATCCTAGCTGCCTGTCCCAGGAAGGTCTTCCCTGAGTTGTTAACTCAGGAGAGATGTGGGGGACAGTCCAAGAGGGAGAACCCCCCCCCAGCTTTCCCCAAGGAAGAGGAGACACTAGAGCCGCGGCCCCAGCTGGCTTTTTCTGGGCGGAATGGAGCACCCCACAGCAGGGCTGGGGGTGGCAGGGGGAAGGCTGTGCTGCTGCACTAACGTGGCCTGTCCTGCCCTTTATCATTTCAGAAAATTTGAATTTAACCCCAAAGATGGGATCGACAACCCTGCCTTGTCACTGGCTGAGGACACGGGTAAATACCCTTATCTCCCCAGGGCATCCCTGTGTCAGCACGGGGTTCTGGGCTCTCTCACACCGGGGAGCCGTGGAGAGATGAACATGTAAGAGCAGGGATGGGGACATCCCAGCCCAGGATGGGGTAGAGAACTCGTGTTAGGATCTCTTCAGGGCCCGGTTCATGGGCTGTGCCTCCATACAGATGGCGAGGGTGTGGGGGAGCCCCGCTTCTACCTCCTGAGCAAGGGCAGCACAGAGACCTTCGGCTTCTGTCTCCACGAGGAGCTGGGCTGCCAGGGCCACGTCATCCGTCAGGTCGAGCTGGGGGGGCTGGCCCAGCGCAGGGGGCTGCAGGACGGGGACCGGCTCCTCCAGGTCAATGGCCACTTCGTGGACCACATGGACCACCATAGGGTAAGCTGGGAGCACCCCAGGGCTGTGGGAATGCCCAGGTCCTCCCTGGCCAGGGGCACAGAGGGTATGGGACTGCGCTGCTCCTCAGGGCCCTGATCCCACAGGCTGTGGCTGGAGGGGCACCCTGCCCAGGGGTCACAGGCTGAGTCCTTTCAGGTGGTGCAGAAGATCAAGGCCAGCGGGAACCAGGTCCTCCTGGCAGTGCTGGATGGCGACTCCTACGAAGCAGCCAAAGTCCTGGGCAGGGACCTGTCTGAGATGCTGCCAGCTGACATCCGCCCACGCCTCTGCCACATCACGCGGGACAAAAATGGTTTTGGCTTCAGTGTGTCGGGTCCAGAAGGTAAAGCAGGCAGCAGGATGCCAGTGCTGCAAGCCTCCTTGACGCAGCGCCCTGCTCTCCGCAGACTGCCTCTTTTCCTTCCTGCAGGCACGAAGGGCACCTTTCAGCTGTCAGTGCAGCAGGATGGGCCAGCGGAGAGAGCAGGGGTGCCACCAGGCTCCTGGCTCCTGGAGCTGAACGGGGCCAGCGTGAGGAGCTACTCACAAGCCCAACTTGCCAGAAAGGTGTGTGCTCCCGGCGTGGGTGGGTAGGGGACCAGGACTGGCTATGTTGCTAAGCACCCTGCATTTCCCACTCAGCTTAAGCAGAGCGGCAGCAAGGTGACGCTGCTGGTGGCATCCAGTGCTGTGGAGGAGTTTTACCGCCTGCGGGGTCTGCGGATCACGGCTGCCTTGGCAGACACCTCCTGGCTCCCCTTCAAGGTCCGGGAGCTGCACATGGTGAAGGGCCCAGCTGGCTATGGGTTTCTGCTCAAGGAGGATGACTGCAGCTCAGGGGCCACAGGTGAGGGCGCTGAGGGGGGCAGTCTGTACCTTAGCAAGGCACATCTGAGCATCAGGAATAGCTGCAAGCTCTGTGCCCACAGCGCGACCCTGTCCTCACCTGCACGCAGGGGTCAGCGGTGCCAGTTCCCCTCTGGCTGAATGCCTCTGTGAGCATCTCCCCACCCTCCCTCTGTCCCGCTGTGGCAGGCCAGTTCCTGTGGGATGTGGATGTGGGGCTGCCAGCCGAGCAGGCAGGGATGAAGGAAGGGGACCGTCTCCTGGCTGTGAATGGTGAGAGCATTGAGGGGCTGGACCACCAGCAGACGGTGCTCAGGATCCGTGCCCATGATGACCAGGTGACGCTGCTGGTCATTGACCCAGCTGGTGATGAGTTCTACCAGTCGGTAGGTTTTGGGGTCCCAGCATGGTCCTGCCCTGGCTGGGGAACCCTGGGGTGCTGCGAGGCTGGATGATGGGATGGGTGTCTTGCCCTCAGGCCTGCACAGTGAGGTCCTCCCAGGGGGACCTGGCTTGCCGTGGTGCACCAGGACCTGTATGGCTATCCCTGTTCTGCTCTTCCAGATTGGGCTGTCCCCTCTGTTGTTCTTTGAGGACAGCGACCCTGCCTCAGGCTCCCACACGCCCTCCCTGCCCTCTCCCAGTGGCTCCCCTGGACTCTGTCATGTTGAGGTGGAACCAAAGGGACCTGGCTCCTGGCTGATGGCTGCTGCCAACAGTATAGGGTTCACACAGGTAACCCCTCTTGCCAGGCCCCTGGAGCAGTGCTGCTTGCAGCCTGGCACTGCTCTGAGTCCTGGCACCCTCTTGCCCTGCCCGTCCTAATATCTCCCTGGCACCTGTGATGCTGGCAGGAGGGGGCTGTGTGGTCCACTGGCCACAGGGGCCAGGCAGAAAGACCCCTACAACCTGCCCATGGGGCAACGGTGGTGTGTGGTGGGGCGGGTGGATGTGTGCTGCCCACAATGCCTCCGCTTGTCCCCGCAGACCCGGCACCGGGAGGAGCAGAGGAGGCTGCACCAGGCATTCTAGCGGCCCAAGAGCACCCTGCCTCTGGCCAGGCTCCCCCCCCCCCC